GGCTAGACAGGGAGGCGGGACCAATCGGGAATCTAGGTCGTCCTTACGTGTCATTGATTCGATCGATAAATACGCGGCGCATCTAACCGTGCAGTCCACCCGTTACAACAACAGGACCAATTCATTTGACTGGAAGGTTGTAGGAACCGTAGTTAGAAGCTCAACGGAGTTGTTAAGATTTTTAATCCATTAATCGGCGAAACTATAATTTATGGACGAACTAACCGTATTTAAAATAACGAGTCACGAGTTATGACGCGAGGTTCATCCATACTTTTGGCTAAATAGAGTTTTGGCTGATGTCGGCTCGTGATGAAAACCCTAAATGTCATTTCTAATTGTAACCATCAACCGTAAATGAGAATTCTAATTGCCGTATAACCCTCATTTAACCCTAGTCAGCAGGTTTCCACTCTCAAGGTCCCTTCAGTATCTCTCTCACCAAACCGGTTAAAGCTCGGGACATTTGCTTATTAGTAGTGTTTAAGCATTGAATATTTCCTCTTTAAAGCGTGGTTAACTTTAAAGTTGAACAGCGTAAAAACCTGTATAAATCAAACTTTGACAACTAGTGTCCGTTTTGTAGAAAATTTATTTTTGTGTACTTATCGTTTGTATGGATTGGTTTAGATTAGAGCAAATAGATAAATGTTTGTGTTTTGTACACCTAAATATCTCCTGATGATATTTGTTCATGTGCTAAAACGTTACTATACTACAATAAAATTCACGAAACTTCGTTCTCAGAAGTTGTAAGTCGTCAAAATCTGAAACTGCCATCTTACGTTGTGCATACACCTGGTCGAAAAATAGAAATGATCCTCTGGGTCATGGAACTGACATAATGTTAATCAGCATGACCAGTGACTGTCGTTGTTATAATTAAAAGGGGTTTTGATATCACATTGTTAATATCCTTGTTCTGAAATTCGGTCAGTCTTTGTTGATATTTTACTGCTAGCCATAATTCATCTATCGCATGGATAAAAATGAAGTTGTTTACTTATAAAAACTTTTAAAATGATTAAATGAAGCTTTCAGAATTTCGGATCTCATCCAATACATCCAAACCTGTTAGCGGGAAATAGACTAGACTAAAGCATGCTCAATGCATGATTGCTTTGGTGCACGCTGATTGGCTAATTCTTATCCAATCAGCGCTAGTCGATAGTCGGAGAATATTCTGGATTCTTCTTATGTAAAAACTATAAATATACCGACGTTTCCCCCTATTGTGCTTCCTACTGGCTTCTGACTTGCTATTTGGAATATAATCTTTTTCCTGTTCAACCGTGTTCTGATTTGGGGACTTGTCGAGTGAATCGGTGTCCGAGAATACTAAGCAATAGGAATAGCTGGGTCATTAACCGTAAGAACACAGAATATAACAGTGGCGACGGGGAAAAACTAAAGAAAAATGGCGATTTCTTTAGAACAGTTGCGGTTAATATTACAGCACCAGCAGAAGTTGTTAGCCTTGCAACAACAACTATTGAACACACTTTTCACTCGACCAGAAAATAAGAAATCTTTTTATGATGCAGTAACAGACATTTCAGAAGCATATCTAGTGGAGGGTTCAAATCCCTTTATACCTGAATCAGAACGTAATATTTGTAACGTGTCCGGCTCACAGCAAGAAAATACTGTGCTGAATGCACATGAAGTTGTGACAATACCAGATGATCAGGAGCCAGGTCCTGTAGATGAAGCCCGGAGTCCAGAATCAAATGAAACACTACTGGTACTGTCTAGCTGCGAAAATAAACGTCAGCTCGAACAAAATTGTGGTCCACGTGCTATTAGTCGAGAAAGCTATGGTGACTCGTATTCAGAAAATAACTGGAGCAACACGATGAACCAAATTGTACCAGATGTTACTCAAAATCACCGGAAGACAGAATTTTATATTGAGTCAACTTATCCCATTTCTAATGACAGTGTACCAGATATTGATTCTCAGAATAATGCATATGATTTTGATGAACCTTCTTATAACAATGAGGGAAATATGTCAGCTGAGTCGAATGATGGCCAAAAATCTAATCTAATTCTGTTAGACGTTGACTTTCTTAATGACTCGTTATCTGCTAACGAGATTCATAATGAATTTGAAAATAATGAACTCAGATCAAAGGTTGTTCATCATCATCTAGTCATTTTTAGTGGATTCTCCAGTCAATACGAGAAACATGGTTTAAATAAAGTCCTACTAGTTATAATTTGGAGCCATAAGGACCCAACATTATTTCGAGGAGGAGGAGAATGTTGGAGAATTAAAAGTTATGCATACTTTTTTTTTAAGAAAAATCAAAACGCCGGGAACAGACATGTCAGTCTCTGTGCAAGGAAAAAGTGATAATTCTTCATTGCCTAGACGATAGACTAATCGAAAGCACAAGCTATTCACTCAGTTGCAGTTGGACCCTAGCACCAGATCCTACGAATCTGCTCAGAGGGGAGGTGTTAGCGGGAAATAGACTAGATTAAAGCATGCTCAATGCATGATTGCTTTGGTGCACGCTGATTGGCTAATTCTTATCCAATCAGCGCTAGTCGATAGTCGGAGAATATTCTGGATTCTTCTTATGTAAAAACTATAAATATACCGACGTTTCCCCCTATTGTGCTTCCTACTGGCTTCTGACTTGCTATTTGGAATATAATCTTTTTCCTGTTCAACCGTGTTCTGATTTGGGGACTTGTCGAGTGAATCGGTGTCCGAGAATACTAAGCAATAGGAATAGCTGGGTCATTAACCGTAAGAAACCAGAGAGTATAACAAAACCTGAACAGGTGGTTTACTTAGGGGGCCACAACCAGAACCTTTGACCTGAAGGTCCGATCCACAAGGCAGTGGAGCATCGTAAAGAGATGCAGTTTCATGGTAGCCGGTGCCCAACGATTGGTTCATACGCTCTTTGTTCCCTCAGGGTGCTGGAAGCCATGTGCTCCATCAGTTTGGAATCAGGGTTTTCCAACTTCGCTAGGTGGACTCCCCTTGTCCACCAACCCGGCTAAAGCGCCGGACATTCTCTTCTCGTCCTCTCAATTTCGTAAACAACACCCCCGCCACGAGAATGCAGTAAGCAGGACTTCCCTGGTAGAGGCTATATAGGCGTGGCCATGTGAGAGCATTTCGAGAGGGAGAGTCGTTCCAGGGCATTTGGGGGCTGACATCTAGTGGTTTGTATATTTGACTTCAATCAATTCACAATATCGTGCGAAAATCTTCCAGTGCATTTGGTTATTAACTATCTAGTAATCAACATGTTTGAACTTCACTGGGAGTTCAGAACGATTTCAGTAAGCGTATCAGCATTTCGTTCCGTATGTTTATGGAAGAGACCAAATTGATTTATCTTGATAGTAGTGAGTAGTCTGTACATTAGATTCCAGCTTTTTCAGCATTCATTACCATTGGAATAAAAAAATTGCAGAACATTCTTGTTTACAACTGTTTAGTCAAACTTACTTATTAAGATTAATGTAACGTCATAGACTGTCATAAACTGAAATTTATTTTCATAAACGAGTGTCACATCTCGCTAGGCACATCGTTTATAAATAGTTTTCTTTTTTTGGAGAAAATTGTACAGAATATTAATTAAAACTGCAGTTTCTAAATATCTTATAAATAGGTGTGCCAATTATTCTCGATCATTATCATGTGGTTTTATTACACTGGTTTCAAGAGGTATATCCTGGAGTTCTGGTGAGAAGTAGTGAGCAGTGGAGCTCAACCGGGTCAGTTGTGAAATAGTAACTCACTGGAGGCAATGGTGAATGTGTCGCTCGATTTCGTGGAATAGTTGAAACTGATAGTTCCTGGGTTCGAGTCCCACGGGGCGGGGTCGTGGATGTGCACTGCTGAAGAGTCCACAATAGGACGAAACGGTCGTCCAGTGCTTCCAGGTTTTCCATGGTGGTCGAGCTTAAATTGACTCATGATCTCAACTGTTGAAATTACTACAATCTACACAAAACCCCTTCTGATATTAATAAGTTTAACATTGATTCTTCATACTGAATATTTGTAATTAGTCATAAAAAAAGAACTCTTCTTGAACTAGTTTGTCATCTGGTTAGTGCTTGTTATCAAAACATACTTGCAATTTTGAAAGAACTGATAGTTTCTGGTAGGTCAAAATCTGAGTTGTTGATTTTAATAGTTTGGAATGTTACTATTGAAATGTTTGAGCTCGGAACTTATTATTTGGTCTCTATGAGTTTTATTTCTAAAAGTTTACGTTTCCGCACTATTACTATTTAATATCTTCAGACATTTTTTCATCAAGCGAGGCGGTCGAGACAATTGTTACGTGCATCTAACCTTCATCTCTCTTGGTGGAAAGTGTTAGCTCGTTTAGGAATAACTTGCAAGAAAGTTAGGGTTACCCAAGCTAAAATGTGGTATCAGTCCACCAAGTTATTGGCTGTTGGCCTGAGCCATATGGGTTGGTGCAGGTTACCTGGTTGATGTACGCTCAATAACTGCGATCAGCGATGGATGACGTCGGTTGACGTGGCTATTAACTGACCACGATGGCACATATACATTCACACTCTGTCCTCCTCTAGATCTGGAGTTTCATTATTCCGTCGTACATTGGCCATTCATTATGTCTTTTCGTACCATGGTTTTAGTGTTTAGTCTTTTCATTATCATTACTACTACAGTTATTTCAACTCCTTACCTATTCGTCTCGATTTGCCAATGGTATCTGGGGCCAACGAGCGTTTGTGCCAGACTTTAAATTGACTGTCGGACTATTGGTTTTATTATTATCATCATTATATTTCCATTTTACGAATGTTGTATCTCCTTCTAAATAGCTCATGTAACATGAATATCCAATGAAAATCATGTGGATCCTGAACAGATTGGTGGTTATTTAACCAGCTTAGATTATAATGAAATTGTAAAAAGTGGTTTAGAATGGAGAAGTCACTTAGCTGAGGCAATGTGTAATCCCAAATAAAATAATTTACCGCATTAGTTCTATTTACGGGCGCCCGAAATTGCAGCAACCAAATATTCAATTGATGATGATGATGATGATTCTTTTAGCAGCTACGGTGAAAGTGGTCATGGTGAAAATAATAATGATCGTCTACTGAACAAAGGCAATTTGGCTACATTTATATTATGGATAAAAGATATAGGTTTGACTAAATCAACCACAAATATGAGTGAGTTATATTGTTTTTTTATTTTCATTCGTTTTATTCATTCAAATCATATTTGTTGCAAAAAGTTATCACAAGCAACGTAGAACTTAGCACAAGCGTATATCGGTTCAGCTTACCAGATCATATCAACGCAACAAGATGAAATTATCAAGATAAATCCCATCACTGTCTCCACTGATTGTGAGCCATGTTAACAATGTCTCCAACCATTAGTCACATTAGTCACTCTTATCTCAACCAGGTAGTCTACGCCCATCAAACTATAAATATAGTATGAGGAAAAGCCAATCAAAATCGAGATGTTAGCGGGACATAGACTGGATTAAAGCATGCTCAATGCACGATTGCTTCAGTGCGCGCTGATTGGCTTCCACCTAACCTTGTTTTTTGGAATACAATCTCTTTCCTGTTCAACCGTGTTCTGATTTGGGGACTTGTCGAGTGATTTGGTGTCCAAGACTACTAAGCAATAGGAATAGCTTGGTCATACCGTAAGAAAGAGATTATAACACTAGAACATGAGTTGTAGGTTTTTGTGCAACATTCATTAATCACGTATCACTAATATTAGACATACTTTTGTATTTAATCAAACTCATAACGAAATATCAATTCTGGCCACAGTGTAAATAACGAGAAAACCAACACTCCTTACATTCTAATCTTAAACCTTTAATGCTGAAACAAACATTCACTTATTGACACTATATTTTATGGCCTATTGCATGAATGGAATTCTGTCATCCATATTTGTATTATATCTGATGCAAACTCGTGACTGCCAGTCCTAACCATGAATATCTTACGCTAATCATAAATAATTTAGAGGTTTTTGAGTCATCCATAAGGATGGATGTATATGACTTTGATTTTTCAATTTACCGAGTAACTACTGTAATAATTTGAATAGATTTATCAAATGCACAGAATTTGTGTACACTTTCCAGTGCTATTGTTTTCTTTACCATAACCTATCCATTTACAAAAGCTGCTTTCTGATTACCTAGTAACTAACTGAAATTTCATCACAGTTGTTATAACTTCATTCATTATCGACGAAAGCTAAGAAAGAGGATAAAGAGTGATCTGTGTTGTTTACTAAATGCATTTCACTACATTTTCAATTAGTTTCATAATCAGGATATTATTTTGATCATGCTTAAATTATCGATATAACCTTTTTGTTCTGCTTAATTATTTGTTGTTTAGCGTAAATTTGCGGTTAGAACATTTAAAAGTTTGTTCTTAACATAAATATGGAGGTCAGTTACATATTGGATAACTCAATTGTAATATTTCTGACTGTGATATTGAGTTATGCGTAATATGTAACTTCTATTTGTTGCAATATCTAAGAAGTTGATGAGCTATGCAGTTAGTATTTCATAATTGATATAGCTTACCTGTAAGATTTCGTCTTTTAACGTAGGCAAGTATCATGTGACGGCAGGGATATCGACCCATCATAAACGTGCTACAATTGCATTGACAGATGCTTATATCCACTTCATAATGTTGTCCGCGGTCAACCATGAACAACCAGTCGCCGCTTTCATATTCCACGTAGACGAAACGCATTTGTTTAAGTTCGTATAACAATTTAGATCTTGCGAATGGGGTCAAAATGTTTAACAGGGGTATAAGACGCTGTGGAGCATTATATTTATAAGATCTTCCGACTATCACTTGATCTTCGATACTTCTTCTAGTTGACATCATTTCACTCCATTTTAAAGCCTTGTACATACATTTGTACAGACTATCACTTTTTCGTACATATCGTTTAATTTGCCTATTTAGCGATTCAACACGATTATTCGTGTTGTTACCCAATGTTAAAACATTACCGTAAAACGCACGCGCCCACATTGTCTTACGTGGCATCCAAAAACGTGATAGGTACTGGCCTACTATCACTCTGTCCCTCCGGTTTATTATTCTGTAATATTGATTAAATCTAGTGAATAAATACATTACAAAAATTACCTTCCGACCGTTTCCGCAGTTACCAATCGAGTTAAGTACGTTCAGTATTTTGTCGTTTGTCTAAGGGCAATTTTATATAAGAAACCATTGGTGTACCTTTTTCCGGAAAGCGCAAATTACATGAAAGGCGCACAGAATGATGTTTGCATGTCCGTGTGTTATACAGACAGTCGCGCTTTCACATCGTGCGCAATCCCTCACAAATGTCTCTGTCAACATTGTGTTACCCATTATCTCTTTGAATTGATCTAAAATCCATATCACATCGGCACGCTTTTCTTTTCGTGTCCACGCAAACATAACAGTTCGTCCTCGACCCCAATTATCTGTCACCACTAACTGGAATAACGAATATCTACATAGTAAAATACAACGAAAACATATTCACTTTTTATTATTAGTATTATACGTAGAATCAATGCACAGAACTTCTGGATATTTCCTGTACAGCTGTATTTGGTCATAACTACAGAAACATATTCTCGTTGCATATCCATTTTCTAAATGTTCTCTCATTTCGCCTTTTTGTCTCAGCATATCCATTAGCTGCTTCCGAGTACAACAACCTGAAATATATTTATATACACTTAGCAGTGGAGAGTTCACCTTTCATAGCTTTGACATCGGAAGCGGTTACCTGCTTACCAGTTCTCTCCTTAATACTTTCGATAACTTCATCTGCTGACTCACAGTGCAATATTACTGGCTTCAAGTTTTTTTTTCTCCTGATGACACGGTTTAAACAGTAATTGCCAATCTAAAATGCGTGTAAAACTAGAGGAGCAAGGATATGTCATCAAAACCTACAACATGCTCCACAATCATCCATGCAGTAGTTCATGGATGGTATGTAATCCATGGACAAGAAGATTGTCATCAGAAGAAAAAAAGAACTTGAAGCCAGTAATATTGCACTGTGAGTCAGCAGATGAAGTTATCGAAAGTATTAAGGAGAGAACTGGTAAGCAGGTAACCGCTTCCGATGTCAAAGCTATGAAAGGTGAACTCTCCACTGGTAAATGTATATAAATATATTTCAGGTTGTTGTACTCGGAAGCAGCTAATGGATATGCTGAGACAAAAAGGCGAAATGAGAGAACATTTAGAAAATGGATATGCAACGAGAATATGTTTCTGTAGTTATGACCAAATACAGCTGTACAGGAAATATCCAGAAGTTCTGTGCATTGATTCTACGTATAATACTAATAATAAAAAGTGAATATGTTTTCGTTGTATTTTACTATGTAGATATTCGTTATTCCAGTTAGTGGTGACAGATAATTGGGGTCGAGGACGAACTGTTATGTTTGCGTGGACACGAAAAGAAAAGCGTGCCGATGTGATATGGATTTTAGATCAATTCAAAGAGATAATGGGTAACACAATGTTGACAGAGACATTTGTGAGGGATTGCGCACGATGTGAAAGCGCGACTGTCTGTATAACACACGGACATGCAAACATCATTCTGTGCGCCTTTCATGTAATTTGCGCTTTCCGGAAAAAGGTACACCAATGGTTTCTTATATAAAATTGCCCTTAGACAAACGACAAAATACTGAACGTACTTAACTCGATTGGTAACTGCGGAAACGGTCGGAAGGTAATTTTTGTAATGTATTTATTCACTAGATTTAATCAATATTACAGAATAATAAACCGGAGGGACAGAGTGATAGTAGGCCAGTACCTATCACGTTTTTGGATGCCACGTAAGACAATGTGGGCGCGTGCGTTTTACGGTAATGTTTTAACATTGGGTAACAACACGAATAATCGTGTTGAATCGCTAAATAGGCAAATTAAACGATATGTACGAAAAAGTGATAGTCTGTACAAGGCTTTAAAATGGAGTGAAATGATGTCAACTAGAAGAAGTATCGAAAATCAAGTGATAGCCGCAAGACCTTATAAATATAATGCTCCACAGCGTCTTATACCCCTGTTAAACATTTTGACCCCATTCGCAAGATCTAAATTGTTATACGAACTTAAACAAATGCGTTTCGTCTACGTGGAATATGAAAGCGGCGACTGGTTGTTCATGGTTGACCGCGGACAACATTATGAAGTGGATATAAGCATCTGTCAATGCAATTGTAGCACGTTTATGATGGGTCGATATCCCTGCCGTCACATGATACTTGCCTACGTTAAAAGACGAAATCTTACAGGTAAGCTATATCAATTATGAAATACTAACTGCATAGCTCATCAACTTCTTAGATATTGCAACAAATAGAAGTTACATATTGCGCATAACTTCCAAAATACCACAACAACTGCATTAGCAAGACGGAGTGACGTGTACATACGCTTTCAACGAAGCCAGAGAATGAATAAGCATCGCATCATTGAGAAGTATGGTGAAAGTTTCGCTATGGAATTTGAGAAAAAAGTGAACAATTATTATTTAAGAATTCTTAATACGAACTTGTAAACTTTGTTTTCTGCTTCAGCAGTAATGATTATTCAATAAAGTTTTGCATTATTTTTATTTTCATCTTGTTCCTAGTTTCGTGGGAGTGAATAGGAATGATGTTCACGTGTGAGTATCTGTAATAATTAAGAAAGATTAACAAACCCTACTTCCACGTAAAGTCTTACAGATTAGGTAGCCACATAACATATTCACCTTCATCGGATAACGTTTATCATCAAATTAGTATCAGTAGCTAAGTAGATTTTAATTTCATGTGATTAGTTCCGCTTATGAATTAAAATGAAACCGGGAAAAATGTTGATGAACAGTGGTATGCATTCATTATTTCGTAGTTTCTCATCAACTGCTTACAGCTAAATATGTATTAGGATTTAACAATGATGTGGGAAATAGTTGACATACCTGAATATGAACAGTTGAAATAACGTAGGTTATCAATAATGACTGTATACGTAAGTATATATATATGTGCAGTTTAAGGTCAAAGGTTATTTGGTTTTACCATCAATAAAACATTAAGGATGGGTAGTGTAATAATGGACTGGAGTTCACAGACAGATAAGTGGTGTGGAAATCTTATAGTTCACATAATTACAGAGGATTAAGTGAGTAGATGTAAGTGACAAAGTGCTGGAATAAATCGGTAACTAAATTTTTAAAATGAAATGAATTATTACGTAATCCATCTTATTACATGTTCATTCCATGGATTATAATGAATTCATATTATTATCTATATTTGTTCTAGCGTCATATCGACTATTTATAAATACGGACACGGTTTATAAAGTAAGACACTGCATGTAGTTGCTATATTTATATTTCAATAATTCATTAGTTGAATAAAAATATCGCAATTGATTGATCACTGGTTGGTGATCAATGTCATGCTTGTCTAGTCCTTATTAGTCCAGATCGAATGCTATCGATCATGTTGCAATGTGGCCACCAGTCTACGTGACTCGACACTGCGGGCACTATGTATTGAGATTTAGATGGTAGTTGGAGGTAGTCAACAGGAAAGCCTGGACCCGGGTTTCGTGCTACTTGGCACTCGTCAGCAAGGTGTTAATTGCAACATGATCGATAGCATTCGATCTGCACTAATAAGGACTAGACAAGCATGACATTGATCACCAACCAGTGATCAATCAATTGTGATTACATCTCAGTCCTACAGGAGGTTAGTCACGGCTCGGATAGCTCAGTGGTAACGTCGCTGACTGTGAAGCTGGGTGACATGAGGTCGAATCCGCCAGGGAGCACCAGTTCCCTCAAGATTACAAGTACCATTTTCTGACGAGTTCCAAGTAGGACGAAACCCGGGTCCAGGGTTTCCTGTTGACTACCTCCAACTACCATCTGAATAAAAATATCACTACGTAATATGGAAAACAGTTGTCGTAAACTTGTAAACCGGTTTTTCACATGATCTTCCATAATCACAAATTCCATAAGTTGTAGACCGGCATAAACCACAAAGCTTTGAGGACTTTAATGGATTCATACAATTCTGAAAAAACAACAAATCAGTCGTGAAATAAAGAATTAGACTTAGTTATCAGTATCACATTCAATAAGTCAATCAAATAGAAGGTCACAGAATGTACCTATAAGTTTCTTATTTGCAAACAGCTCTAATCATTAGAGATTTGGATTTCCGTTGATAAAAATTCATAGGTAAACTTCACAACACACAAATCAGTGTTATTCACAAATTGCTGTAGTTAGTATCATCACAACATACAAGCGTCGTCCGACTTATGAAGAAAATGTAATTAATTAATGTGGCATAAAGTAGATATGAATACTAGATTTAGCTTCCATTGCTCATTCACTTTTTGTCACGTCTGCATGAATTAGTTCGGACGAGTCAGTCTGTAATGCAGTAGGAATTCATGAATTAACTCATTAATAGTTGTTATTTGATTCAAGTCTGTGTCGTAACAAGCACTGGAAACTTCATGTAAACAGCGCTCTTCAGTGACTTACCCTTGTAGTATTTCGTCTAGACATTTGGTATTAGCAAGAAAAATTGGTAAGCACCATTTACATA